GTTTGAAGACTTGGGGGTGGGTGAGAGCAGGCAGTCTGCTAGTGCAACATCTGCTTTACAGAACACTTAGAAAAACATGTACTTGTGTTGGAATAGCAGTCACAATCACAAACTATGCTGTTCACAGGATAAATACAGACACAGAAGAAGGCTTCAATATCTAACATTCCCATAATGGAGAGAGAACAAGGGATCACCCCGCACAGAAAGAGCCTTACACACAAGAACTGCTAAACTCCAAGCTGAAGGCACAATGAAGGGATCCTAGGTACCTGGAGCTTTTCATTGGGAAAGGGTTCCAATTTTAAACTGAATTCCTTTCCCAAAGAAGCCCCTGAAGACTGACTGAAGGGAAGACACTTTCAAATATTTTTATGTAGCAAGAGTAGCAGTGACTGTGAATTATCTCCAATTTGGATTTCCTCTAAGTTCTGAATTAGTGGGCTCAAATTAATGGGCTTTTACTGTGGTTGGAAGCAGTCTGACTACAGCAGTCTAAAATTAGCTAATTATACTGATTAGTATTAGGAGACTTCAGTGGGGAAGATGTGACTGTTTCAGAATCAGTGACGCCTGGAAATGGAGCTTCAGCACTTGACAAGCTGAAAAGCAGCCCAGTCCTGCAGCAGCTTAAGCTTGGCTGTGAGCAAACACATAATCAGAACACACACACTATTCTAAAAAGACACAGACCTGGGGACTCACAGGCTCTCTCTGCCATTTTGCTCTCACTTGAATTAAAAGACAATCTAGTAACAATGTTGGCTATTTTTTTCCCTTGGTTTTCTAATGGGATGCCATTTGGTTGTCAAAAGATCCATCAACTCTGGCTGGAATCTGGGGAGTCACCATCCACTGGGAGAGGGGAAGCATCTGGTTCTAACTGCTTAAACAGAAAACACTGCTGTCCCTAATCCCTAATGCTTGAACTACCAAAAAGACAATGTCCAAACAATTGGGCAGATGCTTGTTTGCTGGAGCACCCTAAGGAATTCACACTAATGGCAGTGGGATTGGCAACTAGCAGAGGAGGCCTCTGTTTCCCAGGTCCGACTACTCGGGATCACACCTCTGTGATCAGCCAGGGCGCAACACAGCTGTGCAGCGGTATGCACATGCCAGGCACCTGTGCGCCCACTCTTTTGTGCTTTCATTTTGAAAACCCGAAGTGATGGGCAGTCTGGGAGGGGACTGACAGGGTTGCCATTCTTATGTAAAAAGTCTTAAAAAGGTTTTGGTTGAAAACAAGTGACAGTCCTATTTTAAGGAAAATTTTAAAGCCTTTTCATTTTTAGTGAAAAATATCTAAGTAACTAACCCCACCATTCCGAAAGTCAAAATCACACACACACACACACACACACACACACACACACACACACACACTTTGTTTCTGTCTCTGTCTCACACACACTCATTCTCTCTCACACACACTCATTCTCTCTCTCACACACACTCATTCTCTCTCACACACACTCATTCTCTCTCACACACACTCATTCTCTCTTACACATTCTTTCTCTCAAACACACACACACACTCAGGAATTCTCAGATTTCCTTCAGCTGCTGACACCTACAGAATAGGCATGTGAATGGGAGGGGTTCCCACACAGTACGGGCCCCACAAGATAAAAAGTCTTCCCTTCAGAGAAGATCCCCCCTGGAACAAATATAACCACACACCAGTTATCATTTCATAAAAACAATGACAAAAGACAACATGCCCACGTGTACAAACACACACACACACACACACACACACACGTCTCAAACAAACAAAAATGTGGCTACTGAAGTGTTAGCATTATATCAAATCAATGTCTATACAAAGACAGAGTTTGAAAAGATATGTACAGGGCATTCGTAAAAGCCAAGTGTGCACCTTGAGGGATTATGCCCATTAGATATACTAAGCACTATGCTGTGAAAAACCACTGCAGAGGCCTTGGCACAAGTACCTGGAAGAGCTCTGTGAAGCACCTGACCCAGAGTTCACAGGCCACATGCAAGGAACTGCTTCTCATTCACCCTGCATGGTCCTCAGCTCCTGGGAGCTACAGATCACTCTTGATAGGCCTTGGCTTGGGGGTCAGTTTCTTGCCCTTACCCCTTACCCTTGCATTTCTAGCCTTTAGCTGCCAGGCAGCTCAACAGAAAAATCTCAACCTATGCCAAAGGCAGTGGGCATTCTGTGGCTCTGGTCAGTGGTGCCTATGCCTGACTCTCTGCTAGATGGGGGAAGAGTCACATTGGGGTAAGTCTGTTGTCATACATCTCAGGTCACAATCAGGCACCAGCTTAACAAAATGCTTAGAGAGGCTTGGATGACCCAGAGCTTCCAGCTTACCCAGGATCCCCATCATGTCTGGATGAGACTGATCCCAATCTCCATCACGGAAAAAGCAGGGGACTTCTGATCCCCAAATCCCTTCACTAGGAAGGGCCAGAGTACAATACTAGAAGTCCAATGGAGAGAAATAATGAAAAGAAACATGGAAAGAAAGAAAGAAAAGGGAAGAGGGAAGACATGAAGGAAAGAAAGCAGGAAGAAAGGGAGGGAAGATGTAAATGGAGGGACAAAAGGAAGAATGCCATAGGCCAGCATTTCTGGTATCAGGAAACCCTGGGAAGACAGGAAGGCCCACATAGGGTCAAATGGAAAGAGAGTGATTCCCAAAGTTGACACTCAACATCAGAGGCATTTGAAGACCTCAGTTAAAACCAGTCCCTTACAGCTATACTTAGTTCTGGAAGAATCTTGCTAAGGGAAAACTTCACTGGTTCCAAGGTGCTTCAAGCATTTCACAAGCATTAGCTCCATCAGCCTCCAATGGGTCTGTGAGGTAGGGGAGCCACATGGTTGAGTTATCCAAACGGGCAACCTCACTGGGGTAAGAACATAAGTGTAACTAGAAACACACCCCCGGGAAAGTGCCCTGCACTGGAACAGCCTCTAGAAGTCATCTGGGGTCTTAAGGTAGGGCTGCATTCAAGGAATGTGTCTCAGTGCCTGCCTCAGAGGGCTGCTTAGACAAAAGGAAGCTTGTCAACTCTGCGGGTTGGAAAGCACTGCAGTTGCCAACAGACCCACGCTATGCAGTCTTTTGGGGCCCCACAAAAATGTGCTACATTTTTTAAAGCACCACAGAGGAAAAATAATTTGGCACAGAGACCAGGAGAATAGAACTGGGGTGGGTAGAGATGGTATCAACAGTGTCTTTTACTTCATTGACAGTTAAAGAGCAAGTCACCTCTGCCCAAACATGTTCCAAAGCCTCACTGAAAACACATCAGCACCTGGCCATGGCAGAGAAAACCCCAGGTAGGCCTTAAACCCCAGGTCATGGGCTCCCCCATTAAGAAAAATTTTAAGAGACACTTCGGGAACTTCTCCCTTTATGGGCACCATCATTAGGAGAGATCACAACCTAAACTTCAAGTTCAATGCACCTATTTACAAAAAAAAAAAAAAGGAAGTATCCTAAAACTTCAAAGCCAGACAGCACAGTGCTCATGGTTTTAACTATCTTATGGATTTATCAACCCCACAAAGGAGGAAACTTGAGCTTTCTGTGCCAGTCCATAACAACCAGGGAGAGGCCCTGGACTCCATGGGGGAAGGGAACATTAGTCTCCCTAACAGAGTACTCCAGGGCTACGTGTGGACATATGCCAGGGGGCCTGGTTTTAACACAGCGGGTACACATCAGAAACAAGATGGCAGAGTTCAAGTGGGCCCCTTAATTGGTCTGGAAGGAGCTCTGCCACTCAGCCCCCTTCCCTCCTCCTTCCCATGCCCTACCCTCCTACCAGGTTGATCTACACATAGATTTCACCCTGGTCAGGAGCATAGAGGTGGGTGTTGAAGGAAGGCTGTGCCAAGGTCTGTTCGATTGATTTTTTTGGAGGGTTTCAAAGGGTCCAGGTGCTAGTGTTTGCATCTATGGTTCATTATTTCTTATAACTTGTGTTTGTTCCTAAATCAACCTTATTTCTATCGTCATAATATAAGTGAGGACAGTAAGCATGGGTTCTTGAGAGAGGGGAGACTGCAGGGCTGACTTGACCCCCTCATCTCTGTGGCCTAGGTCTCCAGACACACAGGGGTCCCCAGACAGCCCCACAGCCCTAGAGATGAGCCTGTGGTCATTTTGGCCACAATCAAGACCATGGGATGGTTCCTTTGGCATTGGAGAAGCCAGTCCCTAAAGAAAGGGCAAGACAGTGGGGACTTGAGAGCGGCAGGGGCAGGGGATGGTGGTTTGAAAGACCCAGGCTCTCAGGTCTGTAGCTTTTCCCAGGGGGATCATGCACTTGTCCTATGCCCCCACCACACACACACACACACACACACACACACACACACACGCATACACCCACAACTGTCTCTGCCAACTGACTTCCTACAAATCCACGGTTGGGGAATTATTTGGCAACAATGAGGCTAAGGCTGTTTTGTGGTGGCACAGTCTTTCAGAAGTCCAAAAGGAAGCAGGCTACCTCTGGAAGAGGCTTTCATACAGGCCAGGACCTGTGTTCAGCTACTTGTCTGCACTGGGGCTGGCTGCCACAATCTCTTCATACTTTGGGGGAGGGTCACTGTAAGAGACACTGGCCTCCTCACTGCTGCCTTCCTGGGGTGCAGTCACCTCCTCGTAGGAGGGGGGAGGTGTAGCGCTGGACAGTCTGGAGAGAGAGAGCTCAGGGAGGTAGAGGGTGCTCTCCAGTCGGACAGTGGTTCTGCCTCCCCGGCTGGGCCCCAGGACTATCTGTGGGTTATTCCCTGCCTCCCGGTGCCCAGAGGACTCCCCCTGGCTATGCACAGTGCCCCTGTATACCATGACTCGGGGGAGGTTGTGTCCAGTGCGATTGGCTAGGTACCGGTTCTGAGCATAGGAGGGGTGGTGACGAGTTGCTTTCTGCAGCTGGCACCTCCAGATGATGAACAAGGCAATGACAATCAGCAAGACTACTCCCAGAAGGGGCACTACCACATACATGGCATCTGAGCTCTGTGAGGGATCTCGGACTGAGTAGACGGCATTTGGATATCCCTTCCAAAACTCCATCTGCAAAAGAAGAAGGGCTACTCACTCCTGAGGAAGACAAACCGGGCAGTGCTCACCTAATATCCATGCTCTGGACATCTGAGACCTCCAGCAAATCATGTACCAAGGACAGGCTTATGATTCCTTCTCCACCCTGAAGCATCTTACTGGCCTGAAAGAGCTCTCAGAAAGCCTGGGAATCCACCAAATATTAAAGGCAAAGCTACCAGATTAGAAAGTTCCCACAAATCATGCAACAGACCGACAGGAAAAACCCCGTGCTCCTTTAGGCGCCAACAGGCAGGACGTAGCCTGGGATGGTGTTCTTCCCTTGTTCTATTCTTATTATTCCCAAGAATGTACCTCATCCCAGAACCCAGCCCCAGGGCAGTACGTGCCGTTTTTTCTTTGTTCTCAAACACTTCCTTGACCTCTTCATAGCTGCAGATCTCTTCCATGCACTCCCGCTCGATGGTGCCCTGACGCAGTTCCTCCAGAAACTCATTGGCACGAGGGAATCGTTTCAGGACTGCATGGGCATTCTTGGCTTCCAGAAACACTGAAAAGAGAACCACAGTGAATCCAAATTCAGTTCCAACAAATCAGACTGGCTCAATCATGAAGGGAAATAGAGCAAATCCAACAGACCTAAAGCCAGGCCTCCAACCAAAGACCAGACCTGGCCTATTGCAATGAAGATGAGGACTGACTTTCTATAATGCTGTACTCTCCAGCATGACCTCCGGGTCACAAAGGGGCCAGGTCCTTTGCCATACCAAGGAAAATAAGACCTAATTGAGAAGGAATTTCAAGTTGCACAGGAAAAAGGACCAGTAAGAACTAACTCTATGTATTGTAATTCTTGGTGAGAATACATTTAGAGCTTCTGCATTTGTCTTGAAAAAGGAAAGCCAGAGCCCTCAGCATGAGAATTGGTTCCTTTGCCAGGCTTTTACTGGTGAGAGTAAAGTGAGGCATGAGCTATGGCTTTAAGGATGAGAGCAGTCACTAATGGTGAGACTGCTCATGCCTCACAGTAGGTGAGGTCCTCTAGGCCTTATTTCCCAAGATCCACAGGCTGTTGAATTAGTATACCTCAGGGCCACCCAAGGAGAGCAAAGCTGAAAAGATGGATGTGTTGCTTTTGCCAGAGCCTGTCCAACTCAGATAGTTCCACAAACACTCACCAGCCATGATGCTCCCTCCGCTCGTTTCTTGTCTCACTTGCCTGGCAAGGAAGAAAAGAAAGTTATGATGAAATCTTCTAGGGTATAGACTGTGACCTCCCACCAACCTGGTCAAAGTAGCATTCCATGGGGCAAGGACCCTCATGATGCCATCACTCAACACCTGCTGCTTTTGTCCTCAAGACCTTCTCCAGAACTCTCCAAACCCACCAGAGACTTGTTATGCATTTATCTCTCCCTCCCTTCCCCCCTCTCTCTCACACACACTCCTGTAAGTCACAAACACCTAAGGGTTAACATTTTTTTTTCAAATGGAAAGCATCAGGGCTATCAGTCTTTATTCCTCAAACACTTAGTGACTCTCTGTCCCTTCAAAATGGAAAGGACCCCAGAGACAGATGAGAATGCAAGTACAGAGATGGGGTTGGGTAGAAACAAGGCTAAGCAAATTGACAGAGACAAGACTTAGAATTGAATTTGGTGGTGACGATGAGTCCCAGATGCCTCTAAAGATGAACATGTTCCTTGAATACCAAACTTAACGTAGAAACAACAGCCATCTCAAATGTCTCAGCCTAGCTGAGGCTGGCCTCCAGTAATCTGCAGATATTTGTTGTACATGGTCAGACGTACTCTTACAATCCCTGGCCCAATACATTAGGCCCAAACTCAGACAATCTGCTTTGCCCATCTTCCACAGAAAGAGACAAGATGTTTGAACTTCTTTTGTCTTTGCATTAAAGACTACTGCAACAGAGAACCCTGGTAAATACATATTTAAAAGATCAGCATGAAGACACAGGTCTGGAGGTAAAACTTATTAATATAGCACATGCCAGACATGTCTAACACTCTGGCTTTTGTCTTCAGGACCACAACAAACAAACAAATACAGTACATTACAATATAATAAATCTGTGATGGTAACCTAGAGGAGAGGCTGCTATCTAGAAGTATTTTCATAAAGTCTTTCTCTGCCGACACAGTCCTACTTGTACACATATTTTGGAGCACTGTCTAAGCCATCAACATCTGGGAGCAATCACCCCTCAGCTCCCTCCCCAAGCAGAAACTCATGTTTTATGACTAATGGGATGCAAGGCACATGAGCTTTGTAAGCCATTATGCTACCCTTTTGGCCTAGGCTGCCAGGAAGTTCAGTGTTAACACTGATGGCCAAATACAAGTGCTCTGGAAGTCCAGCTGTTATGCACATATGCTTTTTCTCCCCACAACTTGGTACAGTGTTCTATTTATTCTTCCAGAGTCTTATCCTTATTGTGTATTTAAAATATGGCTTCTAGTCTGTTTGGAAAACAAAAAGGATACAAATAATGAATAAGATTTAAATGGTGGGGAAGGTAACCAATCTAACAGCACATCTAATAGTACTATCACTGTGTCAAGGGGCTTTCTCTTTAGAACTCACGGGAAACTACCAACAAATCATTACCTCACTGAAATGCCTCAATTTTCACAAAAACAAAACCTAGCCTCGTTATGATCTATGGGGTCCATAAGATGAGGGTACAGAGAAAACTGGATTAAGAACAGGGTGTTTTGATTAAAGAAAAATAAAGCTGCCACAGCAGAGTTGGAAAAGAATGAGCAAAGCTTTTGCTAATAAGAAACCATTGCTTACTGAAGTGAATTGCAGAGTTTCGAAAAAAAAAAAAAACATGGAAAAATTATATAATAGCTTTACATACAGCCATCTTTGGTCTCAACCAAACACATGGACTTCCGTGAATTCATACACAAATACATCATAGCCCCAAGTTTGTGTTAATCTGGCCTGGAAAAGTCATTAGTTCATTTTTGAGCCTCAAAGAAGCCAGGTTCTCCCCTAGACAGTTCACGTGGCATCGCCCACCCCATTAGCAATTCTGTAGCCACCATCACTGCTGCTGCTGCTGCTTCCAGGAAGGCTTCTTCCCCTCCCTCCCCAAAATGTAGCGCCTGCTTCTTCCCCTATAAATACACCATCAATAGGCAGTTACTATGGCAACAGTGTGGAAGCACTAGGGCTCCATGACGGAGAATGCAGCTGCACTCACGCATGTATATGTCCCTCCAGCCCCTGGTGGATACTGTACAGCTGACTGTAGGCTGAAGGAATTTTTAACCCACTCCCCACAGGAACACAGCTGAATCCTGACATTCTAGAAAGGAAGGAAGGCAGGGAACTGGCCATCACAAAGACCTTCCTTAACCCCACCCCAGGCTGAGGCCTCTGAATCCCAGATCTCTGGGTCACAACTCCCAAAGTGCCTCCCCCCAGGGACTGGAGGCCCACTTGACCCCAGACCTGGCCTCCAAAATCTCGTCCCCAAATCCTGGCCACTGTGATTCCCATCACTCCAAACTACTCGCCAGAAAAGGGTTCTGCGATTTCCAAGTCTCGTGATTCATCCATCCACCCAGTGACACGGCAACTTCCACACTGAGCTCAAACTTAAACTCTAGGGTCTTTTGCCCCCTGCCTCTCATGCCAGCTCTGAAAGTGCCTGGCTTCGCCCACCTTCCCTGGACACCAGCGCCCTGGTGAAGAACTACTATTTGTGTCTGGCCCAGCAACACACTCTGCCCAAAACACTTTGGCCTGCCTGACCTCCAGATCCTCCCTCCCCAACAGTACCCGGCGCCCAGCTCAGGGGTCTTGAACACCAAACCATGCCCGCGGGCTGGCGTCATCCAACCAAATGGCCTCACCGTTCTCCGGGCCCAGGAGGCTGCCGCCCTGTTTGCACACGCAGCCAGCCACCTCTCTGCAGCGCCTCTTCTAGCAGGGCCCCTGTCCCCGCCCACCTGCTCCCCATCGGCCAAGCCCCCCGGCCCATCCCAGCGGTCTCCTCCCTTAGTCCCTCCCTGTCCTGCTTCCCTCCCGCCGCCCCTGGCGCCCCATTGCCCGCCAGGCCCTGGCCAGAGTGCCTGGAGCCCCCGCCCCTCACAACCAGACGTGCAGGCCTTGCCCATTACCTCGGTACCCCCCTGCCTGTCCCTGCTCTCCTCTGGGGACTCCGTCGGACCCTCCCCCTACACCCTGCCGAGCCAGCTCTGGCCTGGCGCCCCGCGCCTGGAGTACCACCCTCAAGCGCTAAAACCACCTTGCCGGATAACCAGCGCACCGGGCCTCCGGGCCAGGAGAGGAAGAGGGGGTGGGGCCAGCTGAACCGGTCAAGGGCTTAGGTGGGGAAGGCCAGCACGCTGGGCCGAGGGGCGGCGGCGCGCACCGAGCCCCGCGTGCCCGCGCTCAACTCCGCGGCGCCGCCCCTGCCCGCGCCCGTGCTGCTGGGGGGCGGGGCCTGACCGGCTGGCCTGGGCCCCCTTAGGGACCCTTGAACACCTCCATGGCCAATTGGAGATTCAGGGCTCAAGCCCTGCTAAGATCGGCCTCTGTAGCTGTTGAGCTCAAAGCTAGCATTCCAGGCATTTTGGAGTGGCACAGTCCAAGCTGCCTCCTGGGCCCCACCCAATCTCACCTGCCATTCCAGCCAGCCTGGTCCTGGTGCCAGCCAGGAAGAGACAGGCACGTGACAGCAGGCCCGGGTAGTCTTGGAGGCTTCTGGGGGTCCTCAGAGTTCTGGTCCCTCTCCTTCAGCCAATGACTGAGTGACCTTGATTTCCTCACTTACATCCCCCACCCTGCCAGGGAGTGGTGGACTTAACTGTTGTGAGATCTGAGAAATGGGGAGAATTCTGCTTTCCTTGCAGGCCTGCAGCTAGAAGGAGGGGGAAACGGGCTCCCGAAAAGGAACAGAAAGGAAAGAAGATGCAATCTTGTGGGCCTGCAAGCTGTGTTGGGCAGAGTGCACCTCAGTCTGTACTGTGGGAGGTTCAGCCTTGCTGGACAAAGCCCTAGTAGTAGAGATAGCATTATTTGACGTTGGACCACAGAGGGAGGTAAGATGGTTAGGATCTGGGTCTTGGAAAAGCTAGGAAGTGCCAGTGTGACTTAATAGGTTAACAGAGAGAGCACTTATCGGCAAATCCCTACACCTAGGGTCGCTGTCCTACCCCATGCACGGTGTTTAATGGGAATGAGGCAGAGTAAGGCCAAGATTCCAGCATCCAGGGCTGAATCTTTGTTGCCCCTGGCCCTACACCCCCATTGTTCCTCACCTGCCTCTTAAACTCAGACTTCTCTCTCTTCCTTTCTCTATGCTTCAGGAATGACCCTTGTCCATCGCAGACCCTATGTAACATTTACTCTATGGAAGGCCAAGAGAACCATGCCCATGGGCAGGTTGCACAGAGAAAAATAAGATGCCCTGTGGATGAGATTGCCTTTGGTTGGTGCAAACAGCTGTGTACAGATGCTCGGACTGGATGGTGAAATAGCTGGATGGAATCATGGTCAGTGGGGAAAATGACCAAGGCAGTTTCGCCACAAGCCTTAGTCTCCTAGCACATCAGCATGTTCCTGAGCTCATTTCAACCACGGGAACACAACCCCAAAGAAGGTGTCAGAGTGGAGTGTACCTGCATGCCCAAATAGTATATATGGCATCTACTGTCCTCCCAGCACCTGCATTTGAGCTTCAGCAACACCAGCCTACTTCTAGTTCCTTCTGCACTCAGAATGCCTTCCTCCCACCAATGCTGAGGGCACTTATTTCATTCTGCCCACACAGTCCCAATGCGACTTGCACTGTGATGTCTTGCAAGTCCTTCCCCCCACTCCCACACTGACCAGTGCATTCTCAACATTGTCTACAGGGTCTAGAAACATGGGACCTCTGTGCATGGCAAGGGAGGGAAAGGAGGACAAGCAGGACCTCAAGAGCAGGACCCCATCTCACCTCTTGGCATGACCACATAGTGCTCTATGATCTTCAGCAAGTAAGTTGGCATCTCTGTGTCTCAGGTTGCTTATCTTCCCAATAGGAATGAGGCTAGCAGTGTCTGCTTCAAAAGGTTGCCCAGAGGGCCAATGAGGAGCTAAGTTAATACTGGCCTGGTGCTTACAAGTGAACTTAATACATAGTAACTCTGGATTGCATTCTGTGCATTGAGTGCCTCCTCTCTCTTGGACCCAAGGG